GACACGAGAGACGTGTAATTTCCCTTTCCCACGTAATATGACGACTTTTGGTCTATTTTATAGCTAAAATATTACATTGGAAATTATTTATCAAGTAGGAAAATCTAGGAATGTGNGTATGTCGTGCATCACTCACCCGTGTCTGCACATAAGGACTTTACTATGCACCCTACATAATTGGTATCAAACACACACTAGTTCATATTTAATAAAATACTTAATTCAAGTTTCAAGTAGTCTGTAGTGTTTTAGACACGAGAGACGTGTAATTAGCAATTCAGGAAGCACCATCAAAGTTACGGCTTTTGACTTCAGTCAGTCTGGGAAATGTTAATTTGTCAAGACTTCAAAACCAACAATTGACTCGTATTTGAGAATGTCGGACCAAAACCGTGTGTGGAACATCCACTAAGTGGAGAGTCGGCTGTCATTTTATTACGTCCCTCGTTTGGAATGTAGTATTTGTTTCGCTTACGTTTATCACAATATAAATTATCTCTCTTATTGTGTCTTGTTTTCTGGTTGACCGTGATAGCTTTAGATAAAATGGATATTCTGCGCTATTAGTCATTGCTTCCTTCAATTAATCTGTTATATCAAGGGTCAACAGTATTTGTTACTTTATAACAACTTAGTAATATGTTAAATAAATTAAAATATAATAACTTGAATACAAAGCGATATTTTTAATTATTACTTAAAGTCAGTAATATACTTGATTTCTAAATGGTACTAACATACATTTACCTGTTTAAAATTAATAAAAATAATTTTGATTAAGTTACGTGTTTGTCATTAGAAGCAGCAAAAGATGTTAATGTTACACGCAAAAGGCATAAGCCTACATAAATGCTGCTTTTGGAAATGTTTTCTTTGGCGTTTTTGTTCGTCTTCAGTCTGTCTTGACGATAGAGGCTAGAATGTCTAATAAACATCACCCAAAAGCATTGGGTATGTTCTGGAGTGCGTCGTCTCGGTTGCAATCGATGCACCGGTAAACGATTTAATAAGCTTTTGCCATAATGTCTGGCAATCTAACGAAACGGTGTAAATGGGCTGTGCCATATCGGCATTTGCAGACGTATTTTGTCAAAATAACTTTGGGTTAATACAGATAAAGACAAAACTTAATAATGTAACCGTGGAGGCTGCCATATCGCTCGGTTGGAGCTCACCGTATCCGTGGCCGGATGAGTGCAGCATACGTCGGTCAATATCAGAATGCGCTCTAGTATATTGCAGTTCACTGAAGTACTGTCTGATGTATATTGGAATGTATCCAATGTTTATATGAATATTATTATATTCTTTTTATATAAATAGAAACTTGTATATATACGTGTATCTGTGCATACAAGTTAGCTCTAAAATTGGTGAACTATATAGTCAAATCTCCGTATTTCACCGTCATTTGATTGTCTGCAAAATCGACACAATAAGAATTACGTAAAACAAGTTTGAAATTTACAATTTGGTGATAACAACAAAAGATTTTATAATATTTTTGAAGAAGAACCATTTTTGAATATTTGTCGGCACTTTATAAGGATGTCACTATGTCAGAGGATGCTACGACGAGATTCAATTGCAGCAAGATTGTTTTAAAGAGGGTTAAAACTGGTTCCGAACGATCGCCCTCATTGTTTGCAATTACGATAGGCTTTCAATGCAACAACCGAATTACACATAATGACGTAACTGTTTCAAACTGTAATCATTCTTAAAAAATAGTTTAACCGACTTTTAAGCCAGAGTACGTGTAAGTATCTAGAACTGCGGAAAATTAAAATTCGATAACTAGAATAAAATAGCATCTGGCAGTTAATTATAATCAAATAATAAACATTTATTTGATTGTAATTAAGATTTGTCTAAACAATTTATTTACTTTAAAGTAGTAAATCATTGGTATTAATAGCAACATGTTTGTAATTAGGAAAGGATGTCGGTCAAGTGACTGACCTAGTTAATAAAATTTTTTTAAATCGTGTTAAGGTTTGGCACGATAAAACTCTAAGGAAAACCAATCCTTAATTTTACTTATTGCCAAGGAAATTATAAAAATTTTATTATTTTATACGTTTTTTTTTGTTTTATTTTTTAATATTTGCAGCCTTTGTTAATTCGATCGTTTTGCCGATAAAAATTAAAAGGCTCGATAAATAGAGCACAAAATTTTTTGCCATATATGTGCTTTAAACAATTAAAATACACATTTTTTTTTATTTTGATTTTAAATATGAGAATGTTTTTGCTAAGTGTATAAATTTTATATTATTAAATAGAAGATGGCATGCATGTGACGAGTGTTTTAACGGAAGGTTTAGGCTAACTGTATGGTATTTAACTAAATGATATTCTTGTATTTGAAAGGAAATGTATATTGCTGCAGCGTGACCTATTAAAGTGTTTTTTGTTCGGTGTCGTGGCTCTGGGCTTTCCTATAATTGTATCTATTTTGGTCAAAAATACAGTACGTTTAAAGGACAATAGGTGTCTGTCAATGATCGAGCAGATAAAACTGCCAAATTCTGATGGTTGTGGGTTCGTGCCTTGCTGCCAGGCACGAACCCACAACCATGTTTTCGTGTTTTCTTCACGTTCGTAACACCTAAATAGGTGCCGGTTTCCCATAGAAAGTCCTCCTGGGAGACATTCCCGGACGAGTTATGTTATTGTATACTGACAACAAACAATAAAGGACAGTAGTCTTGTTATGTCTTTGGTACAATATTTTGAAATGATATGAAGAAAAGAAAGAAAATAAAATTAGGATAAATCAAAATACGTTGATGTGATGATTGCTTAAAGTCGTTCTTCCTGGTTTGTTAGGCTGCGGCTAGTTTGGGGCCAAAGCACTATGGCGGCCGACATCTCCTTGGATAAATTGCGTGTGCCTATCGATCCATTTTTGTCCACGTGTGTAATAATCACAGTTGTAGGAAAACAGAGGGAAACAATCAAATATGTTCTCTGGCAAATCCCAGATATTTATTACTCTGCATTTACTAATTACATAGAATATACAAAATGTACAAAACAGATATACTAGGTTGCCAGGACCGAGACACAACCCCACTTGTGTTGACACATCGAGACAAAAAGAGGTTGACTGTACCTCGACATCATGCGTCTTGATATGATTAGTATAGACTTGACTACTTTATAGTCCGGCATCAGTTCTACTTGCTACCTAATATAAATCTCGAACATTCTGTGTGGAACGTCAAAGCATACTACGACATTTATAAGTATTTGTTGGTGCCGTATCGAGGTTTGATCATATTTAATTGAATTTTGGTATTTCTTGGGCTATGTTGTACAAGTCACTTAGTTTTTACAAATATGCGAGCTGTTCACAGCCCGGCACACGTATTTGTAAAATCTAAGTGACTCGTACAACATGGAATTCATATAAAACGGAATTATCAACAGTGTTATAGGGGAGTCGACTGTACTTCAAAGTTACCGGTTTCATTTATGTGGTGTTAAATTTGCAATTTTTAAGATAGAAATAACAAAAGTCACAAAAGACGCTGCCTTTAAAACTGCATTTTGTCATTCCATATATGTGCTAAGTTTTAAAGAAACAAATATAAAAACAAAATTAAAATGTATGCTTCCATTCGATCAAGACCATCGTCAGAAGAAGGCCCTTATTACAAGTTTCGAGAATTTTTTTAAACTTCTAAGATAATTCTGACGTGCTTGTGTTTCGAAGGGTGTCGTCGTTCGGTTACCGAACAAACTTCACGTATCGATTATTAGTACTCGGAGCTGCAACGATGACGTGACGCGACGTAACTGAATGGCGACATCATACAAAGGGAGTTGTTTTAGTACCGAATAGGAATTTCTTTGGTATGAATGGTGACAAATAAGTAGTAAGATGCCGACAAGCAATGGTTTTTTTTTTTTTTTGTCTCACTTTCGATTTTAGAAATTTCAACAGTGATCTTTAGGTCAGACTTCAATAATAAATTAATTAAACTCAACTTTAGTTTTTCATTATATACTTTTAGATCAGGTCAAAGGTCATTTCTGTTAATGAAGACTGTTTTTGTTCCTAGCCAGTGTGATTGACAGATTAAAGAAGACATTTTCATTTCTTAAATATAATGTTAAGCCTTTAAACTGTTACGTTCAAATTACAATAACTGAAGACCTAAAATATTAGATTATAAACAGGTCATAGCAGTGTTATTAATTAGCCAGTCGAGCTATGTAATTTGGTCCGAAGATAGTTGGTTTGGCTACCATCTCTTACTTAAATCAATAATTAATTTTATAATTAAACTTAAGATATTCTGGAAGAAAATAGGAGCGGTACTCGAACTTGCAGCTTCTGCCTACCAAGCAGATGTATCATCGGTTGTGTTATCCAGACATATACAGAGTTCATAGTGATAATCCTTATACACAGACATGTTTCAATGATGCACAACATATGATACACAGTAACAAATGCAGCAAAAAGACGTAAGAAAGTGAGAAATGAACACACTAAACAAATGCACCAGAAACGAATGAGAATCACAAATAAACGTGCAAGAAATATGCATTTTACCGTCTTAACGTGGCATGAACGTTAGCATTTCATGCTTTCTATTCACGTTATTTGTATATGTGGGACATCCTATCATACAGTTCTGTAATTGACTTTTTTCTTGTATTGTTTTCTTGTATGTTTTTGAGATAGGACACTAACTTCTGAATTTTGTGTAGTCTTTTAGTACATAACCACTCTTATATGGCTGTATGTCATGTTCTTAACTGGTGTATATGCTCATCAGTTACATGGGCATATGGAGACTTTACTATCCACCCCGTATATGATCCATAGGATGTACGTAAACGAGGGCTTCAATGCCAGTCCAAGGTTTACTGTAAAAGAATACTTTAATTATATTTTTATAATAGCAAGTAAGTTTCTAGAATAAAAATATTTGAAGTGATAACGATAATAATAATCCAATGTTTCGATTTCTTTTTCCTTTCAGATTTGCCAAAAATCTATCCCCAGACAGAGTAGTTTTAAGTACGTTAAAAGGCCACTGTGAGTTAATGAATTTAGAATTAGACGAATTGGTCCTAACAGACGTTCTAGAATTACCTTCGTGGCTACGAATAACTAATGCTAGGTGTAATCATGTTACGGTTAAAGTAAGATTCCTTTTTTTAAAATTCAAATTTAATTTTAAAATATTAAATTAACATTTAACCGGTCGTAATAATAATTTCTTATAGATTCATTGGACAAAATTAAAATCTGTTCCCATTCATTTGGTAAGTATTTACGGGACTTAAGATTTTATTTGTTTGCTTAAAACTGGAATTTATTGAATGGAAAAATTTACAGTCGTTGGACGAAGTCGTCGTGGACACGGAGACCTGCGAGGACTTAAGAACGCTCTCCTCTCAGTCTCTTCGTCAGTCTTACAAGTTAGTGTTTCTTGATGCCCGCGGACCGAATTTTAGACGTAGTTTAATTGCATAATAATAAATGAATGTCGAAACGTTTCGTTCCAGGTCGAGTGGGAAGTACGGCTTCTCCGAGCGGGTAATCGACGGGCTGACGGTGGTCGTAAATTCCGTTAACATTAATTTTAAATCTCCAGTATTTCAGGCATCTATTCAGGTTAGTTACATGCAGTTTTATCTATTTTCTGTTAAAACTAATTGTTCAGTTTCTTGTATGAAGTATAAAGAATGCCAGAATCTAATGAAAAGTAAGTAAGGGGTTAGTTTGAATAAATAATGAGATTATATGTAAATTATGACAGAAAAAATGATCCTAACTCAAAGATGCTGTGGAAGATTTTCCTGCTCATCTGCTAGCAGAAATTTTACTTGATTTGCATATATTGTATGTGTGTTGCATCACCTGTATATACACATGTTACATAAATCTATAGATTAAATAGAGCAGGGGTTGGCAACGTGGCGCTCGTGGTGCATTTCACGTGCACCCTCTAGAATTGTAGCCACTCAAGCACAAATATATACGCTTGTAATGTTATTAAAAAACAGAGGAATAGGAAAGAACGTTAAATGTTTCGACGACAAGGACTGTATATATTCTCGAAAGTATTTTAATTTAAAAAATATTAGATTTCTAGAATTGTCTTGTGGTATATTTAAAGTTTAAAGAGTTTTGCTTGTACAAAATATAAGTGCAGTTTAAAGTTTATGGCGTTTACCGTCCAAAACAGTAGTCGACGCAAGTATCTTATGTGTCAGTAATGGGTATTTTTGCCTATAGAATGGTGCCCCATACTTTGAATGTTCCAATGTTTGCATACTAAATTGGAGAGGAAGTTGAACGTTGCTTCTATGTTCAAACTTCACATTTTCTTTTCTTTACGTACAGGGTGCACGGTAAAATACTTATACACTGACGTGAGCAATGCATAACAATACGATATGTAAAGACATAGGAAAATGAGAAATACGTGTGTTATAAATAAACACGCAAGAAATTAATGAGAACACACTAGAAATACATATTTTATTGTCCTGGCTCAACATGCAAGTAAGCATTTTATGCTTTATATTTACACCATTCATATATGCGGGGCATCTTTTTGTATTAAATTAGTCATTGTCTACGATTCCTTAAGCGATGTTTTTCTCATCACGCATCATTTTTTGATGCGTGATGAATGTCGAAACGTTTCGTTCCAGGTCGAGTGGGAAGTACGGCTTCTCCGAGCGGGTAAGCCGTACTTCCCGCGGAGTTCTAACTCGTGAATTTCTGCCAGGGTGCCATAAGCAGGTCTCGTCTCGTAGTGCATATTTGCCTTGTTTGGTTTCTCACTCCTCAACTTTGGTCATCTGATGAGAACTAGTGTGTTTAGCAAAGGCTAACAGTTGCTTAAAGTTATACTAAACAATATAAGTATTTGAAATTTAACTTTTTAAATTCTTTTTCATTTAATATATGATTCTTTGAATTTACAGCTATCTAGAGTTATTTTAGAGAGTCGTGCACCCAATTGGAAGAAGGCCGATCTTCGTCTCTCTAGAATCAAAGATACGGAACACGGGGAGTTACTGTTTTTCAAGCAGCTCGACTGGCAGGTACTTAGGATCGAGGCTAAAGCTAGAGAGTCTTCCGGCGATGCAGAAGTGAATTTAACACCTTTGAGATTGATCACGAATCAGGGTTCCTGTAAAATTACGATAAAAAAGAAACTAAGCGGTACATATTTAATTAATCGCTCGTTAGATTTTTTGATATCCGAATTGCATAACCATTTTCAGACTGCAGCGTGATGGGTTGTCGGATTATTTTCGTACTGGACGACCTTCTTTGGGTGCTGACGGACGCACAGCTGGTGGCGGCGTTGCACTTCGCAAATTCTCTGAGTCAGCTCGTTCAACAGGCCAACGAATTATCCAAAAAAATTAAAGCAAAAAGAAAACTGGAGGTATTGTCTGGAAGTTTTACTCATTTAAATTATAAAAGGAGAGGTAAAATTTACTTAACTGTTATCTGTAATCTAGCAACAACCTGAGAAACCCGTTCACGTAAATCATCCCACGAAATCCGCTTCTAGTAGTCAGCGTGTTTCCGCACTAATTCGTTACTTTCACCAGTACGACATCATCGAAACCTCGTATCACATGTACTGCGGAAGAATCGATCTTCATTTGTGCGACGATCTCGATCCACACGGTATGTCGTTTTGTTAGCCGTAACGTTGCATGCCAAAAATTATCTGATAATTTGTTAAAGTATAAATGATTTTATTCTTGAACTGTATGACAAAGACTGTAATTTGCTGACTATAAACCACAGTGGCATACAACCTGTACTTGCTTTCAAGTTGATCTTAAAACATAATCCATGGGTTATATGCAGGAAATAATAGTAATAATTAAAATAGAAATGCGTAAGTTTATCAGCAGATAGCATGGGGGAGGTTTTATTCTTATATTTTTGGAAATTGATATATTCTTTTTTAATTCAGTCTACTACATTAAATATCAACTATTCTAAGTTTAAACACCTAAACTGAATTAATTGTTGTAATGCCTTACTTTCGTAATAAAATATTTTCATTCCTAAAATTGCGTCATTTGTAACTGCTGGAGAAACTTGTACATATATAGAATGTCCTTAAATTTAAAAATTGTTTGCATGTTTTCCATAAGTATTAAGTAGAGAACCCCTCAGTTAGGGATATCCTTACACTGCCGATACAATACCACATCGATATTTTCTTTCGATACCAAGTATTTTTGTATTCGATACTTTCAGTTCGATACCGATACCGGTATCGATACTTTTGTGGTATCAGGACATCCCTACTCTCAGTGAATTGTTAAATTCATGATTTTGCATTTCAAGTAACGTTACCATTGCCAAATTGTGTAACTCAAATTTGAGCTAGTATATAGATTTCATTTATTAGATACAATTCTTATTATTTGAGGTTTTTCAATTTTGTGCTGCACTCAGTTTTGTTCAGTATCAGAGGCTAACAAATGGTGATTTTAAATTGGGATTCAACCATATTTCCAGAAACTAAAAGGCTAGCGGATGGTCGAGTGGAAAAAAACCACCGAATTGTAGTCGGTTGCAGGTTTGTGCCTGACCAGTGGGTTGGCCACCTGGAATTTTCTGAGATTTTTCATGTGTCTAACACCTAAATAGGACCAGTTTCCCATAGAAAGTCCTTCCGGGAGTCATCTCCCTCGGCAGATCATCCAGTGTGATGTTGCCGTATTCCATCAAGCTAACCAATAAATTTTTTAAGTTGAATATGATTGAATTTTAGGATTGGAAATATTTCTATGCAGATTAAAGTCTTTATTGCTGCCCTAAACTTTAGCAATATTTGAATGTATTACTGCAATAACATAATGACTGCATGTTTATATTCTTGATGCACATCCAACAATTCTTTTTTCTCGGTAGTTTACTTAAAAAGGTAGATTTTTCTTTGTCTTGTTCGTTGTCTTAGTTTTACACCAATAGAGTGCACTCGCATAACCCTTTTATTTTCCGGAAATGCCTTCGTGTCTGTCAAATATAAACACTATTCAGAGGTCGGAAAGATGCATTTCATCAAACGAATAGCTCTAAAACTTTTTTGTGTTTTCTTGTCTGTTTCTCTTTTCAGTTTGATTATTATGTTATTTAAGGTGGCTCAAGAAAGTCTAGTTTTCAAGGTGGTGGTGCACTACAAATCACTCTAATGAAATTATCCATGGATTATTATCCATATCATCGTGCCTGTAAGTATTGCAATTTGATGCCTGACATTCAAGTTTTTTTAAACTAACATGTCTTTTTTTTTATAAACTTTCAGTCGGAAATCGAGATCACTGGTTGCGTTACAGCGAGCCTTCGTCGGGTCGGAATGCGTGGATTCAGCAGCTCATGTCGTTGTTCCACGAAAGTCTACAGGCTAAATTTCAGTCCGAAACTCAAAATTTTGTAGACAGTAATCCTAACAAACAGGGTGGCCCCAAACATACCTCGGTTCACAGAGCTCCTCCTCACGTAAGTCATTCGGTGTAGGCTTTAATCGTTCCTTTAATTGTTACAAATAAATTTTGCCCATTTAGGGTACAGATCAAAGTAACAAAGGTACGCAGAGCAAGTCGAGTAACGAAGATGCAAACAGGCGAGGAAGTTTGAGTCAATACAAGAAAGCAGCATCGCAGTGGAGTATGAAGTACTTAATGTCGTCGTGTTTTGTTTTTCGTCTGGAAGAATACTGCGTATATAAAGTTTCAACATCTACGACATCCAGAAGTTTCGCTCATCAGAAATTCCTAGCTTACGACAAAGTGTCGTTAGTACTTCCGGCAGATATGAAAAGTATTCATTTAGAAATGACTTATTATTATTTTCCTGGAGATATTACTTTACCAGGTAAATTATTTATTATATATTTCTACACCAATATATCCATTACTAAACAAGAAAATCGTTTATTGAGCTAACCATTGTAATTCAGAATTGGTAATTTCTAATAAAGCACTTAGCCCCATTCTTTTTAATTTATTTGTCAATAATCTTCCGAATTTTTTACACAGTCGTAATACTATGCGTATATATCTGTTAACATCGAGCGAATTGAATTGCCCTTTGTTTGCCGACGACATTGCAGTACTTCCTTATTCTCCTATTGGTCTTTAGCAGAAACTTAATCTTTTACAGAATTATCGTGGGACTAATAGATTATATATTAATGAGATTAAATCTAAGGTATTAATTTCTTTGAGAGGTGTTAGACTGGGAAAAGCTGATAAATTCTATTTATTCAATTTGGAGTTGGAAGTGGTATTGTTTTATAAATACTTAGCCATTTATTTTACTCCGCAGATCTTGTTTTCATTTCGATAAATTAATTACAAAATTTAAACTTAAACTTGGTAATTTAATCGAGCTGACGATTAGAATGAAACAATCTGTTAAGTCATATTTTCAACAGATTCCTTGGGTTTGGGTTTTATGTTTCCTATTTTGGGTCCACGTCTTGTTGACAAACTGCAGAAGACTTGATTGAGATTCATTAGATCAATTTTTCGTCTTAATTGTTCGATCCCTGTACCTGTACCTGTTTTGAGATCCGAATTGAGTAGACTGCCGTCAACTATAAGTTTAACTATCACTAATTTTCGTTGCTGGTTCAAGATTCTAGAGCTGCCAGAGTGATCTCAGGAGGTTGGTTTATAACAAATTAAAATTAGTCAGCACTAATTCTTCGCTTGTAATTTGGTTTTCCTCAGTGGAGCGTTTATTGTCTAATTTGGGATTTTTAACTATTTATTATACTCACTTTTCCGATAAACGAGTCAAACTTAAACAGTCTTTTGGAGATAAATATTGGACTCAAGATAGTCTTTATATAGAGCAGAAGTATATTTTGTTGGAAAATTCTTTAGCCTTTCCATGGACACTTGAAGTTATTCATTATTAAATTTAAATTATAAAATTAAATCATTGATAATACAACTGTGACTTCACAAATATAACTCTGTACCTGGTTAAAACCCCAAATACTTACGAAAGCCTTACCACTGGGCTGTCTGTGTGAAGTTTTCTGGGCTTTCTTTACATTTGTAACACCTACATAGGGGCCAGTTTCTTGTAGAAAATCCTCTTGGGAGGAACCCTCTTGTCAGATTGTGCATGTTGCATTAAGATTATTTTGATTAACTAACTTTTCTATCCCTTTATATCTTAATGCTTCAATGTGCGGTTGGTCATTTGAAATTGTGCATAAAATACTAGAATTTTTATATAATTTTACACTTGCACATTACGTAGTTAGAGATAGAGGGATCTGGTTTAATTTCTTAAGTAGTTTCTCAATTAATAACTCGGATAAACGCTGTTTCTTTAAGATAGTTTTATGTCTAAGCCTAGCAAAAGGACAGATTTAATTGAAGAAATACAGATTTTAATTTAAAAATTTAATTAATTTGGTGTCGTATTTTGTAACATCTTAAAGAAAAAATACCTTATTTTATATAATTTTCAGTTTAACCGATTTAAAAAGTTTGCTGCTAACCTAAAATTTTATTTTTGTTAGTTCCTACGCCAAATATTTTTGCACATTTGGGACCGTTGCAGCTGACGTACGATGAGACTACGTTATTATGGTTGAATACATTTCTGTTGAATTTGGCGAAATGCATTGTAAGTAATGTCTCCTTATTTTTATTCAATAATATTTAAATTTGACCTTTTGAAATTCATTGATAAATTACCTAACTTCACTGCCTGTAACCGGTGTTCTCCAATACGAAGGACTTTGCAAACGTTTTCGAACCTAATCTGGTTCTTCTTCAGGCGCTACGGAATATCTATATCTCGTTCCAATGATTCCCTGGTTAAGTACATACCAATCACATACAACCCGGCACTTAAGGCCATATACAACCAGATAGCCAAGAAAAAGAATGTCCGCTTGGCATTTAGGAGATGCACCACAATATTCGATTGGCTTAGAAATGGAAAAGACTCTCCAGACAGCAACAGACTTCCGGGCGTATACTCTGTGCCCATCACAGATCATAGAGAGAACAGGGAAGTAATTTACATCGGGTCCACTAAATGCAACTTACCATATTAGCCCGAATATAACGCGACCCCAAATTTAACGCAACTCCAAAATTTTCATAAAGATATTTAGAAAAAAATAATACTCATAAAAGAATTCAAAGAAAGTAAAATTCAATCAGATAAGCATTTATTTATGTAATTACAGTAGAGCGTCGTTTATCCGAATCAATTGGGGACTGGGGTGGTTCGGATAACTTATTTTTCGGATAACGAATCATGTACGAAAAAATATATTAATTTATCCCAT